CTCCGCGCCGCACCCCGCGTCCGACGGAGCCTCGCCCGGGGACAGCGCCAGGCAGAGGCTGGAGGAGACCAGCGCCAGCCTGGCCGCCGCGCTGCAGGCGGTGGAGGAAAAGATCCGGCTGGAGGACGGGCAGGGCCTGGGGTAGGTGCGGTCAGGGCCGGGGCGGGGCCTGGGGGACGGGGCGGGGCCTGGGGACGGGGCGGGGCTTGGTAGATACAGGCGTGGCCTGGGCAGGGGTGGGGCCTGGGCAGGCGGGGCGGGGGTTGGTGGATGCAGGCGTGGCCTTGGAGGATGGGGCGGGGCTTGGTAGATACAGGCGTGGCCTGGGCCGGCGGGGCGGGGTTGGTGGATGCAGGCGTGGCCTGGGATAGGTTTGGGCGGGACCGGGCTGACAGGGCGGGGCCTTGGCAGCTGAAGGCGTGGCCTGGGGGTGAGAGAGGAGCGCGGGTGGGGTTGGGGGAGGTCTTCCCGGTGCAGGGCCTGGGGTGGGATCTGCGCCCCCTCCTCCCGCCCTGACACGCCCTCCCCCGCCCCAGCCCTTCCACGGCTGCGAAGAGCGCCGGCAGCATCCTGGATGACATCGGCAGCATGTTCGACGACCTGGCCGACCAGCTGGACGCCATGCTGGAGTGAGGCGGCTGCCCACATCGGGCCCACTGCGCCCCCCGCTCGGCCACACACTGACCCTTACCTCAGGACGGGCGCCTCCGAGCCGAGGGGCTGGGGCCGGGCTGGACGTGCGGGCTGCCCAGCTCCTGCACAAGCACAACTCCCGCCCCTGGCCCAGACCGGACGCCAGTCTGGAGGACCCGCCTGGCTGGGGGCTCCAAGGGCTCTGGGCAGCCCCGCTGCCCCGCGGGTGCCCGTCCCTGCCTGCTGTTCCCCGTGCAATAACGGCTAGGCCCCTCTGCCTCACCGGCCCGCCCTGCACGTGGAGGCCGCCCTCCCCTGCCAAGGCAGGCTGGGGCAGGGTGTGGGGAAGGGTGGCGGTCCCTCAAGGCCCTACGGCCCCCTCCCCAATCTGTGGCAGAGCACAGGCCTATGCCCAGCACAGAACTGCCCATTGGGGAGCCTCTGCTAGCCGCTCCTCAGAGCAGCACAGGGGACGGAGGCCCAGACCGGCCCTCCTCATTGCACCCCCCAGAATATAAGCTATCAAGAGTATTAATTTATTGGGAATGAGCTAAGGCAGATTTCCCTAGAGAACAAAAAGGTATAACTTTAACAAATATATATTTAAAGAAAGAAATATTATTGAGTCTATAGAAAACCATTTACCAACTGAAAGGACACTGGAGTCCCGCTGGAGTCAAAAGCTGTCAGAGGCCCAGGCCATCTGTCTGTCTGTCTTCCCCTCCCTCTGTCCAGGAGTGGTCTTGCCTCTGGCCACAAGCACACACAGGAGACTTGGTCCTCTCCCTGCTCTCCTAACTTCTCTGCGTCCTAAGAACTTGAAGGATGTGCCTTGCTCGCTGCCGGGCTATGCTCTCCGTGCCCAAGGCCTCGGGGAAGGCTCCTTCCTCCTGGTGTGTGGCTATGTCCTGGGGTGCTGGGGTGAGGGGGTGCCGTGTGTTCATCGTGGTGAACGCAGGCACGTGGCAGTGCCAGCAGGGTGTGCATGCCAGGCTGATGGGCAGAGGTGCCCAGGGCGGCCCCGTGCGGGCAGCCAGCCCCCTCAAGTTCCCACGGACGCTTCTGCTCATGGTCCAAGGCTGTGTTGTGTAGTTCTTGCCCTCTTTTCCTCCCTCCAAAAAATACTGACTGGTCTCTATTGTGTTTGCTGATCCACAAGTGTTGGGCACAACTTTGACATTTCTTTAAAAAAAAAAAAAAGAAAAGAAAAATTAAAAAAAAAAAGCCCAAACCAGCAATGGTGTGGGTGGGGGCTGGCGAGGGAAGCTGACCAGGCTGCGCGTGAACGGGCCTTCAGCCGCCACACCGGCGCTTCCCCGCGGACAGGCTGCCGGCCTCTCCTGGGTGGCCAGCCCAGGCTGGGGTCCTGGCAGTGGGGAGGGGGGGTCTGGGCAGGGAGCAGCTGTCAGCTGTCAATAAACAGCAGAAAACCGAGCTGGCTGGCTCACTCTTTTGGGGACATGTGTTGGGGAAAGGAAGGTTGAGGCATTGGGAGGCCAGGAGCCAAGGGAGGGAGGTCGGACCCCCCCCCGAATTCCCTCTGCATCCCAGTGTCATCAGGGCCAGAGAGGCCTCGGCCCCACAACCTGTCTCCACCAGTCTCCACCACAGTCTGTACAGCTTTTATTTCAATCCAGAAGTAATAAAATCTATATACAGTCTAAAACCAGTAGAAAAGGTGAGTAAAAAGGCCCGCAGTCCATCCATCTGGAGTGGGAGTGTAGAGTGGGCTCGGGGGGCATCGTACCTGGCACCCACGGGGGGTAGGTGGGGTGGGCATCTCCCCGGCAGCAGTGAGCTAGGCCTGCTGGAGGGGGACCTGCTGGGCGTAAGGCAGGGGGTACCACCCTGCTGCCGGGGTCCATCCCCACAGGGCAGGGAGAAACCCCGAGGCCACCCCGTGTGGCCAGCCTGGCTCAGACGGGCCCAGCGGGAGCCACGGCTTGGTCTGCACTGTTAGCATGTCCACACCTGTGAAGAAAAGGCTCCGAGTCAGTCGCTCCTGCGGCCCAGGGCTCCTCCCCCTGCACCCCCTGCTCCGCCCTGCGTGGCCCTTTCCACTGACCTTCACGGTGCTGTCCACAGCCCCTGAGAAGAGCCGGCCCCGGGACACCGCCAGCGCGGTCACGCTGCCCTGGTGGCGCAGCAGGGTCTGCGTGCAGATCATGTTGTCCATGCTCCAGACCTGGGGATGCAGGATGGTGAGGGCGCTTCTGGGACAGCTTCCTTCCCACCCGCCCTCCCGCCCTCCCCGCAGCCCTTACCCTGAGGGACCGGTCATAGGACGCACTGAAGACTTTGGTCTGGTCGGGGGTGGAGATGACCGCCAGGGCGTACACAGTGCCCACGTGGCCGGTGAGGGTCCGCACCTGCTCCTTGGACTCGATGTCCCACACCTGGTTGGAGGTGGCACAGGCGGGTCAGGGGCAGGGACCGGCGTGGGGGGGCGGCGCGGGGGGCCTGCCTTGGGCACCCAGTCCTTACGTGGATGAGGTTCTCGTAGGTGCCACAGACAATGTGGTGATTTGTCACAGCGATCGAGTAGACACTGCCTCCAGATGTCTGCAGGACGTGGATGCAGTCGAGGGTCCGGATGTCCCAGATCTATAGGCAAGGGTGGCTTCCTGATCCCAGGCCTGATGCCTGCCTCACTCCCAGGGCCTCTGGGGCTCAACAGGAAGCACCCTGCCCTCCCCCCCCCCCATGCATGATGGTAGGGGCAGGGGGAGGAGGGAGTCTCGGGCCAGCCTGGTAAGAAGATCCTGCCACCAGGAGGACAGCCCGGTGCACCTTGATTGTCTGGTAGGAGCCGCTGTACAGGTAGCTCTGGGCTGCCACCAGGGCCCGCACCCAGTGGTTGAGGCCTGTGAGCTCCTTCTTTAACTTCAGCTCGGTGCCCACGATGTCCCAGACCTGTGGGGATGGCTGTGAGGAGAGGCTGGGCGGGCCCCCCACGCCCCACGCATGCACACACGGACACGCATGTGCACACACACACGCGCACACACACGCACACGCGCGCGCGCACACCTGGGCTGTACCTTGATGGCCTTCAGGGAGCCGCTGAAGAGCATGTTGTGAGAGGACACCAGGGTGCACACCGGGTTGTCGTGGGCCCGGATGGTGTTCACCTTCTGCAGGTTCTGGATGTCCCACACCTGGGGAAGGTGAGGTGAGCCTCAGGGTCGTGGCAGGGAGGGAGCTAGCGCCCAGCCTCCTCCACCCCCTCTCCCCACTCACGATGATGGTGCAGTCTGCAGAGCCACTGTAGAGTTTGCACCTGGAGGGGCAAAGCCGTCTCGTGAGCCCAGAGACCACCAGCTTCGCCCACCCCGCCAGGCGGCCTCTGGGACCAGCAGCTCGGCCTGCTGCCATTTCCTGGAACCACAGCCTCAGCTGACACAGGAACCTTGGGCACGGTGGGTCCACCCCACAGGCCTGCCTGGGATGCATCTGGTAGCCAGGCCGGGAGGTCAGCTCCCTTGCACTGACCTCAGGGAGCTATAGAGCCAGTGGGTGAGCTCTGCTCTTTCTCCGAACACTCAGGCCTACACACAGCCTCCTAGCTCGTGAGAGGGGGCAGGTCTAGGGCAGAGGCCACTGTGGGGTGAGGGAATGGCCGGTGCAGCCGCTCCCTGTGCCTAAGCCCAGAGCGGTGCCCAGGGCGCCGGCCATGCTGGTGAGGGGCAGTGCCTGCCTCCATGTGGTCTCTAAGCGCCTGTCAGCCTCTGGCTGTGGGACCTAGCAGGGCCAGCCAGGCTGAGTGTTATCCACACACAACTCCAGAGCCACACAAGGGCCCCCACACCCCCCCTGGCGGTGCCACGCCAAACCTGGCATGGTTCGGTCCACGGTGTACCGTAGGTATGGCAGACAAGCTAAACAGACTGCCGCTCACAGCTCCTGGCCTACAGGGGATGTTGACAGGTGCATCTATGCCGGAACTCACCCCTGGATGCACAGAGCCAGCACAATGCCATCGTGGCCCTCCAGGGTCTTCTGGCACTTGTAGGTGGTACATGTGTCCCACACCTGCAGAGATGAAAGGCCCGGCCGAGCCTGTCAGGGTTGGCCCAGTGCTAGGCAGCAATCCATCCAGGGAAGAGGGCCTGGCCTGGCAAGAGGTGGCAGGGGTGGGCTGTGGAGCCCGAGGCAGGACTCTGCCTACCTTGATGGTCTTGTCCGAGGAGCCGCTGAACAGGAGGTCTCCCATGGAATAGACACAGAGACACCAGACGGGACCCTGGTGGCCCACGAAGGTCCCTTTGCACTTGAAGATCTGCTGGGGGTCATAGGCTGCAGGCGGGAGAGGTCAGTGAGGGACCAGCAGGGCTCTGGGGACATGGGCGGGCTGCCGCGGGCCATACTCACATCCCAGGATGCCCATGTTCAGCCGAGCGTTGATGTGCGACAGCTCGTCCTGCAAGACCGAGGGCAGAGAGCGAGAGGGATGGGTGGGGCTGCCGGGGCCTCAGGCAGAGCCATCTGGCCTGGGGCCACAGGCCCTGGGAACAGCCTGCCTGCGTCTCGCCACCCTGGGCCGCAGCCCTGCCCAGCCCACTCACGTTCAGCATGGACGCATCCCTCCGGAACTCCATGAGGTCCTCACTGAGTTTGCTCTGGTTCTCGTCCAGGACGTCTACGCAGGGGGAGGAGGGGCAGTGTCACGGGGGTCCCAGCAGCCTCTGTATCCCTTTTCCCTCCAGGCCGCATCTCACCGAATTTGAGCTCCAGGCTCTTCTCCAGCTGGTCGATCTTCTCCGAGAGCTTGCCCAGCATGGAGCGCAGGAAGGCGATCTCCTGGTCCTTCTGGGCCAGCGCCACGTGCATCTCGTGGAAGCGGTCGTCTGTCTGCTGCAGGAACTCCTTCAGGCCCTCGAAGCGGCAGCTCTCCAGGTGCGTCTCATACGTGTCCTGGTTCCCGATGAACGTACACCTGGGGGGGGGGGACAGGCTGGCTGCCCGAGGGGACCCGCACACGGCCCCCGGCCCAGAGAAAC